TCCATTTTGTTGGCACTCAAAAATGAAAAGCAATAATCTGCAGGGTGGGGGGGGGACCTAAAGCCTGAAGCCAAGATGCTTCTTAGAATAATCTCTGGAACCTTCCTCACTGTGAACAATATTTCTGTTCAGCCCCTGAAGTCCCCTCCTGTGCCAGGACTGGCCGGAGCGCAGCTGTGGGACCCGAGAGTCTCGTTCTGAAGTGGCCTGGGCTTGGGAAGCCCGGGACCTGAGAGTTTAGCTCAGCCTGTTTGCTCATTTAATGGCAGGGGCTGTTGGGCCTGCTCAGGCTTGGAGAGTCAGAATGATGAGCGCCTGGCTCAGCCTGGCCTCCTATGTGATTACAGGCCAAAGGACAGCAAGACTCCTTTTCAGCCACAGCTGCACGATTAGGCTTTGAGTCAAACCTCTGAGAAAGCCAACATCCCAGGAAGTTGTTTGTGGGAACCAGGCAGCAGGAGGCGGCTTCCAGGGGTTTCATCGAGTTGAAACATCAACTCAGGAGGATAGGACAGAGTCACCCTGCTCAGCACTGGGCTAGGTGAGGGACTAGAGTCCCTAGTTAGTCAGCCTTTTGGGAGAAGGGCTCCTCTCACATTCAGCCCAGTGCTGATGCGGTGGAGCCTTTGCTGGGAACAGCTGTATTTTTTGTCCAAAACTTTTTCTGCATGGCCTTCCCATTGTCTAGGCTGAACTTTCTTACCCGGGCTATCCATCAAATCTGGACCCTTGTCTTCTTAATTTAAACCATGACTGAACCTTAGAGTTAAGTGTGCCTGGGGACACTGATCTAGACACTCCACTTGAGAACCTCTCTTCTGCCTGGTCCTCTCCCACTTAGATTGTATGGTCGTTTGAATTGCTCAATATTCTCTCTTGCCTGGACTGATAAACTATGCACTTTACAAACTTGAGGTTCTTCTCTGCCCTAAAACTGTTACTGAGAGTTGAAGAGAGGGTTAGCAAGCCTGTGTTGGAAATGCCATCTTTAAAGCCCGTAATACTCTCACACCTGGACTTACCAGGATCTTATTTTTTTGCATGTCTTAACAGCTCCATCATGGAAATTCCAACATAAAATCTATTATTGGACTGATCCCTGCACATAAAAATTCTAGTTTTATAACTTGCTCTTGAACAATGTCTTGAATTTCTTGGATTAATGTCTTGCCTGGATTTATCATGACCTTGTCTTTGGAAACATGTGGGTTGTGACTTGGAAACTATTATTGGATCTATTTGTTTTTATATTTAACTTATATTTAACTTATAAAACAGCAGACAGTGGTCCCAAACAAGACCTATCTCTGCCGTGGTTGTAGTTGTGTTGCATTGCGTTGCAGTGAACTCTCTTGAACTAACTGATGTGCCTATAGTTTTTGCTTTAGCTGCATGTGTTGGGCCTATCACAAAAAGATTCCTAAGACGTTGTACCATTAAACTTTTGTTGTGAGATTGGCTAGAGTGAAACGTTTCACTGACTCTGGTGTTCTGTGCCCACATGTTTGTGCCACAGTCAGGTCACCACATTCAGAATCTCATCTGTTCCCAACATAATCTTTTCTTCTAAAACACTCAGAAATCCACTAAAATACTACACAGATTTCCTCACCTTTCCCTCCTCCTCATTGTCAGACAAACACTCACCATACAAGTCCATTTCAAACACTTATTAATCTTCTAATAGGGGGGACATGATATCCCTCTATAAGTACTTCAAAGGCTTTTACAAAAAGGAAGGTCAAGATCTCTTCTCACTAATGCCAGAATGTAGAACATGGAATAATCAATTCAAGTTGTGGCAACCCAGATTCAGGCTGGACATCAGGAAAAGCTTCCTCACTGTCAGAGCAATGCAAGAGTGGAACCAGCTGCCTAAAGAGGTTGGGGGCTCTCCCACACTAGAGACATTAAAAGCGAAACTGGACAGCCCTCTGAGTGGGATGGGGTAACGTGGTGTCCTGCAACAGCAGGGGTTGGACCTAATGGCCTTCATGGCCCCTTCCAACTCTTCTACGATTCTATGATTCTTCTAGGTAATTTGCTGTAAGCCTCCACCCCCCCAACACACACACACAAAATTGTTGGGTGTCACTTAACACTGGAAAATCACATTTTCATCCAATGTCCTCTTCTGACCATATGATCATATTTTTAACACATGAAAATTCTTTCAAGAACTGTGTGCCAGCTTCTCAGTAACACTCACTGTTCATCATGTAAAGATCCTCTACTCATGTTGCACATCAATATGTACCAACCTGTGTGTCAACTAGACACTTGGTAATGGCAGGCAAAAGCTGGCCAGAGCAATAGCTTCAGATGACAGAACCAACCAAACTGAATACTGGCGAGGGAGAGTGCCATCTTGGTTTCCCAGGCTGTACTTACAACACCATAATCACCGTATTTGCTCTCACAGATTAGAAAACCTTAGTCCTACATTATCGCCATCTAGCAAAAATGAGCTATGTTGTTTTTTATAACTAACTCTGGCTGCAGAATATGAAGTGGTCCTCTGGTTTGCTCAGTCCAGCATACTGTCATTAAAAGATGACAGAGAAAGCCTTCTTCAGGACCGCCTATCCAGCTCTATTGCATTGCCATTTCCACAGAAGAAGGTGAGGGTTCATACTTGAGGACAAATAAAAGCACAGCAGTGTGGTAGCTGTTGTTATTGTTTCTTTAATCTACTCTTACATAAACGAAAGAAAGTTCAAGGGGCCGAGAACTACACTGCAGTCAGAATCTTCAAATTTATCCTTAGTCTGCATAATATCACCACAGAGTAACAAAAGTTCAACTCCTCTGAGCAAGTTTTAACCAGTTTAGAAACCATTTCCTCTGCCATCAAGCCTGCAACAAGAAGACTTGCCCAATCATTAGAAACCACAGTCAATTTTTCTTAGCGGTAACATGCTGGTAGAGAGAGGCTGGTTAAGGTTTTTAGATCAAGTGTGATGTAAAGCAAAACACGGCCTGTTTCATGCAAAGCAAGAACAGAGAGGAAGCAAGAGTAAGGCATTTGCAGTTGGCAAGGCTGTTTAGTGCCCTGATGTGTTTCTTGGGTGGGGGGGGGGGGTTACTAACAAATGGTATATAAGGCAAGGAATAGGCCATCTTTCAGAAAATTTAAGAAATGGTCCATCAACTGATGCACAGCAGTGTGATCTCTGAACTTACATCTATCTATCTATCTATCTATCTATCTATCTATCTATCTATCTATCTATCTATCTATCTATCTCTGGCCTTCTACAGATGTCCAACAATATCCTGGTGTGTCCTTAGGCACAGTGCCAACACGTTTATACCATCTAGGAATATGTTCACAGTCATTTGTAACTGAATGATTAAAAACTAATTTACTACGAAGAAAGCTATGTTACGAGGTAGCAACATCTGTAGCAACACCGCAAATGTAGAATTCTCTTCCAAGGGTGGTCGGGGTCTTTCCTCCCCACATTTAATCACAACCTAATAAATAAGCAGATCCGTTTCAGATGATAGTGGGTTGGGCAAGTGGATGGAATGACTAAGGGTCATATCCAACTTCTGCCTTCCATCTGAGGAATGGACAGAACTGGTACAATCCCCCAACCTTGAAGAGCAGATTGTGGGCCTGTGGAAGTCCTATTTGACCTGTGGTATCTGTTCTACAGGTCCAGTATGGAGGTTGGACCCAAATCCGTATCTACAAGCAAAATGGTTTGCAAATTAATTCTGACAGCTCCTTAGTTGAGAAGCTGGTAGCTGGTTAGGTAAGAACTGTAAGTTTAGACAGTAGCTTGCTTCTCATAGTGCAGGACAAACACCTAGAGATTCGGTGTGGTGTGGTGTACTCAGAGTACTCAGCTGGGGATCTAGGTGCCACTTGGTCATGAAACTTACTGGGTGACTTGAAGCTGGTTGCAGACTCTCAGCCTAACCTACCTCATGGGGTATTCTTGTGAGGAGAAACAGAGGTATGTAAGGAACCTTGGGTTCCTCACAAGAGGAAGAGGACAAGATATAAATGCAATGTAGTAGCAGTAGCAGTGACAGCAACAATACTAGGCACACACTATCCTGCCTAGTTCTCTTTTCTCCAGTAGCCACTGTTCTACATTTTCATCAAATATATATAAGAAGAAATGTTTTTCTTCTTAGTATCCCTAACTAACATTGCATTTTGATAGGTCTCTTCACAAACATTCAACCATTCAACTGAGATGTTTGATGCCCGAGGAGCCATTTTAACAGAGAGAGAAAAAGCACGTGGTGATGCTCCTGAGCTCCATCAGTGGGCAGGCCTGGCTGGGTGGCGGGGGCGTCCTTCCTACCTTTGCTCCCAATGAAGTTGTTCAAGGAAGCAGCGTACTCGTACAGCATCCTGCTAGGACCACTGCATCAGATCTCCATATCCAGCTCTGCTTGATTCCCTCAGAGTCTGTCAGGACCTGGGCATTTTCTTTGAAATGGGTGGCCCTTTGGATGCCCACAGCCTAACAGTGTAGTGATTTTTAAATTTGTTTTGCTACCTGCTAAGGGAGAGACTGGAGAGAAGAAAGCAGCAGAAGCTACTGCCAGAAGCTTTTCAGCTTGCTCCCTTTGTGAGTTTTGAGTGAGTGCATGTGTGAGTAAAGGGGAGATGGGCTGGAAGTCCCCCAGTCTTCTGCCCCTCCAGCTGCAACTGTATACATAACTGTAGTTTTGAGTAAAAATAGAGGGTGCATCGGATCAATGATTCTGATACACTGCCTTCCTAATATAATTAAACACTTCAGCATGTGTGTATTCCTGCTTCGACAGGCAATATCCTTAGGTCACCAACCAGCCTAAGGTTAGTAGCTGTCTAGCAATTGCAAACCCTGATTTTTTGTGGAGATTGTCTTCCAAAATAAGGACAAAAATTCTCTTTGAGTTCTGATAAAAGAAACCATCTATACAGCATTCTTTAAATTTTGCTTTGTTTTGCAAGCACTACAAGAGAGTTGGCTGAGATTTAAAGTTATACTCACCAGTTTCACACAAATAATGAAAGGTGGAGATGCATCCCTGAAATGCAAGATGGGGATCTTGGGTTTGGGGTTTTCCTACAGGGAGACAAGCACATTACTTGGTTATCTCATTTTCTGTGGGATACCACTGCTCCAAAGGGACAATGGTGGGATTTGTGGTTGCTGATTCTCCTGTGTGCCTGATGCTCAGGACTCTTCTTGCTCCAAGTCTCACATGCAGCAGTTTAATTCTGCTCTTCTGGTTTGTCTTCACAGGAGCTAAATAGAAATGCTACTACCTCCACCAATGCCTTTGAGGGCAAAGGGCATTTAGGGCTGCCACTCTCCCACACAGACAAACAGATATAAATTATACCTCCACAGATTTCCCACTTCCCTTAATGTTTTTTTCCTTCTTAGAGGAGGCCAAAACAAGCCCTAGTTTCTTGTAAGTGAGTAGCAAAGTTCCCATTGACGTCAGTAGGAGCAGGATCCAGCCCCAGAGGCATCACCCTTTCTTTCTGACATCATTTATTGACATAAGAGAAGGTAATTCACAAAACTCCACTCCATTCTATTTAGCCCTCTTCTACAGTATAGTTTTTACAGCTTCTCATTCAGGATCATCCAGCAGAAGGAAGAAAACAGCAGGGACTGGGTTTCCTAGTGCATAATGTGCTGTTTGGAAAGTGAGTTTTGTTTCCCATTCTTTCTTCTCCCTTCTGTATTTCTAAGGCAGCATTTTCATAAAGAGACCTTTCAGTTTGAAGGGTTCATTCTCTTCTGCCTATTTACATTCACCCAAAATGACAACCATTCATAAGAAGACTATAGGGTGTCAACTAGTGAACAAGAGTGGGACAGAGCCCTTCATCTGACAATGGGTCACTGATTTTGTACCAAAACAAAATCTCAGTTTCTTTTTGAGTTTATTTGGCCATTAATATTAAACTTATTTTCCAATTACAAAGATGAAATAAATGGCATAAATGGCCATAAATAAATGGTCTGCCCTGCCACCAAATGTGGTATGGAATATATTCCCATCCTCTTGCATTTCTCAGAAGTTGCTAATTCCTGTAGGATTTCATGGACTTAGAAGTCAAGCATTTTCTGGAAAAAAAATACTAATATGTTTCTAGCTCTTGTATTTGGCATAACAAACTTGAAAATATGCTTCAAAAGTTAAAAGGAGAAGTATGATTGTTCAGTAGCCAGGAGATAGAACAATTTGGAATGCAAAATCTATTTTGCTTCCTCCTTCATTTAATAGAGCACTGCAAAATGACAGTAATTTCACATTTTAGTAGCCCAATTAGAGCAAGCTATTTGGATAATTTTAGAACAATGTCCCTAATTTGCATATTGAAATCCAGTATGAGTATTTTTTTCTTCTTCTTCTCCATTAAGACTTGGCCATTTACAAGAACTGAGCAGGGCTGTGAGGGACAGGACATTTTGAAGGATGCTCATTCATAAAGCGGCCATAAGCCAGAGACATGTAACAACAAAGACCTGACAATGCGGCATTGAACACATTCCCTCCAGAGTAAAGGTTCACTTTGCTCAGACAGAATTTCAGATCATGTATGAATCAGGATTGTTGCCAACCTTCGATTCTTCGTAAGTGTAAAATCCTTTTGTGATTTTCTTTTTATCCACATCACAAAATGCAGTCACCTGAAGGAGACAAGCGGAAAAGAATTAGGACCAGTGAGGAAGACGGCGTGCTCTTTTGCTCTGTTTCTTGGAGGTGTTTTTTCCCTTTTCTTTTTTCCCCGTTGAAGTGTGTGCACTAGTCAGGTGCTCTAAAAGCAATGCAGAACATATATCCTATATCCGAGAACCATAAATCACAACAGCTGACAGAGCCACACATAATGAACACATTTATTCGCATATCTACCCGAGCCTTGAGAAGCGTGTGCTTCAAATCAGCACTAAGGTGCTAGACTGAGTTGCTTCCTCCCTGGGGCTTCCAGGTCACTGCGAAAGACAACCCAGTAGTACAACCCAGGACTACAGCGATGGCCACTAAGAACAGGAGCAGCTCCGTCGCTTTGCATGCATGCTGCCTTGAAAAGGGGCATGAGAGGAGAGGGAAGGAGGGAGGGAGAATGAGATACTTACTGGAAGAAGCAGAGAGTGCACAAGGGGATTCCCAGTCTATGCGACAGCGGTTGAAATGGAACTGAGGGAGTGGCTGGGGTCCGCCTGGCACCGTCATTACTGGTTTTTCGGCGCCAGGTAAAGACCTTTTTATTTAAACATCATTTCAATTGTTAAAACATATGATCTGGCCTGGGCAACTTCTTCTTCCTTCTCTTTCTCCTCCTATATTTTTATTTTATACTGATAATTTTAATTTTGTATTTGTAAATCAATGTATTTTTTGTATTTTTATATTTAATGGTAATTTATTATGTACTATTATT